CAAGGAGAAAATAGGTTTCGCAGATGTAGCGGGTATGATGACCACTGTCGGTTAGGGTGGGGGAGGGGGAAGGGGAGGGGGTGGGGGCAACATGCATCCCCTTAATTGTGAGAGGTAGCTATGCTTGCAGGGTCCCCTGTACAGGCTTAGGAGTAATGGCAGGTAGATTGTTAAAGGTGAAATTGATAGAATAATATAACCTAGTTAAAAAAATATATATATTTCGGAGGACAAAAGTATCCACAGTAGGAAGGGGTTTGTGTCCAACTTTTTTTTTTTTTGCTGACATCATTATCGATGTGTTGTACAGTCTGAAGTGATATCCATTTATTCGTTTATCTCGAATTATTTCTGAAGAGGTAGTGATCTGTATAAGTAGTGTTTGCCTATTCAAACGGTCTTCCTTTCATATTTTACCGCCCGCAATCGGTAGCCAACTCTTTGACTGACTTGGATAGCACCTTGTAGTCGGAGGAAGCGAAGTCGAGAAACAGGGGGGGTTGCAGTTTGATTTTGATTTTCTTCTGCCTTGATCATACTTGGTGTCTGCACCAAGTAATGAAGCACAAGGCGTGAGGTCCCACTAGCAATCCAATCCCCGTTGCTAGTGAGACCTCACGCCTTGTGCTTCATTACTTGGTGCAGACACCAAGTATGATCAAGGCAGAAGGAAATCAAAATAAAAAATTAAAATCCAACTGCAACTTCTTATAAACACGATATGAAATCAAAATAAAAACCAAACTGCAACTTCGTATTCAAAATAGAGAATAAAAGTAATCCCTAGGAAGAATATGGTCCCCTATTTGTTTTTTAGGCAAAAACAAATAGGGGATGATATTTTTCCAAGCGTACACGAATGGAAGGATTACTTTTGTTCTCTATTTTGAACATGAAGTTGCAGTTTGGTTTTTATTTTGATTTCATATCGTGTTTGTAGGAAGTTGCAGTTCGATTTCGATTTTTGATTTCGATTTCCTTATGCCTTGATCATATTTGGTGTCTGCACCAAGTAATGAAGCACAAGGCGTGAGGTCCCACTAGCAAAGGGGATTGGATTGAGATCCTGAATCTGGGCGTGTTTTAGGCAGAGATGCAGAAAAACACTTCAATCTTCATTTTCTGCACTTATCCGCAAGCAGGACCAGATTCAGGCGTTTAATCCAATCCTCTTTTCTAGTGGGACCTCGCCCAAGGAGGCCGGGGGTTGGAGACTTCTGACGGTCTTGGACTCGGGTTCGGTACAGTAACTTTGTTGCTTGGTTTCCTCGAGCGGGCCGTCTCGAATCAGGCACTCGTGTCTGTTTTTGTCTAGTGCTTCGTGTGTGGTGTTGCTCGATGAATGTGCATCGTCTACACCAGCACATGATGTTTAATATCGCACTGGAAATGATGCTTCATGGATCCTTCTCCGAGTATTCATCTTAGATGTACCGTCTCACCCCGAACAGAGGGCATACTCGATAACAGTGTATTGGATCGAACTAGTGTATTAGATACATAAGTTCTAAGAAAGATTAGACAGCATTGTGTTGTGGGAGATGGTGATTGGGCTTGCTGGTCGGGTTTCAGGATTAGTGAAGATTGTGTTAGGAGAAAGATGGTCGAGGGGCTCGCTGGTCGGGTTTCACAACAGTTGGGGTGGTGGTCTGACGATAGGAAGCCTAAGTAAAGTTCTGGCTCGGTTGGGGAGTTAATGGTATTCCTGCGGGTGTCACTCTTTGCGAAAAGGAAAGAAAATTAAGAAAAGGTACTTGCTATCCATGATTTCCTTAATATCCAATGATCCAAGGCTCTCTTCCAAACGGAGCGATGAACCACAACAAACTCCTCTCTCTCCTACTTTCTCCTCGACTTGCAAAAACAGTGGCGATTCAGATACTCCTTGAGTACCTTCATCCCAAACTGGTGATCTACCATGCTTCCCCCCCCGAACCTAATGCGGCGTTTGTCCGGATTCAGATCACTAAAGAACTCACTCCTCTCGAGTAGAGACAGGGTCTTCAAATCCCAAGCCACCACGAGATGTTTTTTCAATTCCTCTGCAAACCCTAAGCTCCTCTCCCGAGATTCTTTCTCGGGTCTAAGGTTGTCGACACCGGAGAGGAGTCGAGACATGGCGTATGCGGCAAAAAAGTCAGGAACAGGGGCAGGAATGACCGAAGTCCAATCCCCACCCGTTCCTACTATTGTGAAGCATGTTGTTATCATCCTTCTGAGGCCTCCGACCTTACGACCACAGGTTTCCTCCTCTCTTCCTTTCTACCTCCACCCTCTTGATGGGGCCCTGATTACTACCGCCGAGTTCTTCCCTTCCTACTACATACTAGGCTCTGTGCTTCGCTAATCTTCTCCTATCGCTCATTTCCTTCAATTCCCGCACCTACTTTTACCATCCTTGGTGGGGCACCCTAGTACTACCGCCCTTCCTCCCTGGTTCTACCCACGAGTCCCCCCGCCAGTCCCCCCCTACCGAAAACCTGTGTCCCTGTGAGTTAGGGCCGGGTTGTACTGAGGGGCGGCGACCGTTCGTCACCGGCGGGTCCAATCCCGCCATTTTCAAGTGACAACTTTGCCGATTCTTTGTGCTCAGAAGAATTCACAAAAATGTATGAAAATGTGAGGGTCCGTAGATTAGGTCGTGATATTTTAAGGAAAACTATCAGAATAAATAAATAAAATCGTTTTGAACACGAAATATTCGTCTCGCCGATTCGGTGCATTTTTTATTTTTGCCGTAAATTTTATTTTTGAGGCCCGTCCGGTTTTTCACTCTGTACTACTGGTACCTGCGTGAAACGACGCTACCGGTACCCCCGAGGTTTCTGACGTCAGGGGGACTGGTGTCCTCCCTATCCCAGCCCCTTCCCCCCCTGTCCCCGCTCGATTTCCCTCAACCAAAGTCGACTCCTAAGCAACCAACATACTCAGCATTCAATTTGCGCCTTCGGCACCTACGTAGCACAAGAGCCAACCCTTCTACCCAATTCTACCGAGTCTGGATTTGCTCCTACCCTGATCGCACCCAACAAAACTCTGCCCCTTTGTTCCCAGATAATAGATACCTATCCATCAAATTCAACAGGGCGGACCCTCCCCTACTGGTGAACTCGGACTAAGGGTGGGACCCCACAGGCTGGCGGCCTGGAAAGCGGTCTAGCGGAAGTTGGCGGCGTGAGGCCCCCACGAATGGAAAGCGAGCAGAACAGGGGACCCCACCGCCATCGTGAAAATGTGCCCCGTCTCACTCCTCGTTTTCCCGAACAGGAAAGTCGACCCCGAACTCTCCCGGAAAGGAAAGCGTGCCTGTTCCGTTTGTGTTCCTGGGTCCACGCGTGCAGGCGCGCAGACGTGTGGCGCATTCCGTGTGCACCAACATGTGACCGTGTGGGTGACGCTGTCGCGTCAACGACTGAAATTGCACAACACCGGGAGGTATGAACGGGTGGGGGGGGGGGAGGGGGGGCGCTCAGCAAAGAAAGAATACATTTCTGCCCGGGACCACTGGAAGGATAGTTCAACAGCCGCATTTTTTGAATACCTGGTCTGTTGTGCCGTTGTGGTACTCATATGCTGTGACCGAATGTGCGAGTTGCCGTTAGCAATCCCCTTCCCCGTCTGCTGCACCGTGCCACCATCTCCGTGTCATCGCAAACAGAAGAGAAGTGTCGTTGGGGGTGTTGGTGGGCTTGGAGAACGGATAGGGAGGTGGGGGTAAGCAGAGGAGCGGAGACATGGACGACGAGTGGGAAGGCCGACTATTGTTTTTCGTGCTTGCTGTCATCCAGTGGGTGAGTCGGTGTAATGTGGCCGCCATGACTGTCCTTGAGACGGCTGCTATTTTGCCACAATGCGACATATATTGATTCAAAAAAAAAAAAAAAACGTTCGAAAATGAACAAGGAAATAGGGCGACGGATGCATGAAACGAACCCCCCGGGTTCATTTCATGGTGCATCCGCCGCCATGTTCCCTTGTTCGTTTTCAATCTTTCTTTTTGTTTTTTTTTTGTCTTTTTTTTTCCCTTTGTTATATCATTTGAAGTGCTCGTTTTCCAAAGTTCTTTGTGACAGTGTGTGTGACGTTGTGGTCCTCCATGCACGTATCACCGGTTTGACGGACTGGCATCGTTGGGGTTTCCACCCCGCATTCCGGTCCCCACTCCTCGGCGTTCGGCCATAACGCCAACCAACAGTTGCAGTACAACGTATCCCTCCTTAATGGCGCTTGCGATTGCGCCAACTTGGGTTGCAACCAACTTCACTCTCTCTGTGCTTGCCCGGGCAAGAGTGCTTGCTGCCATATCCATCCCTTCTCGGACCGCCATACTAGAATCCAACACAACTCTCTCCATAGATGACACTGGCAGGTGATCACTAGCACGATCTTTGCCCGTTGCCCCATGCCGTTTCTTCCGCAAGCCCTCCGATTCTTCAACACTTGCACCACTACGGCTCCCGCCTTCTGACGAGCCATGCCCACCGGGTGTTTCCTTATCGGAAACACCGCTTTCAGCACCCTGCAAGTTTAATGATGCCATGGTATTATCGCAAGCAACTGACAACTTTCGATGTGCCCACTCCATCTCCTCCCACAGCGGCTGCTCAAACGTCGTCGAGATTCCCTCCCTTTTCCTGTCTTCGACGCTCATCTCCCAATATGAGGGTTTTCCCGACGCGTTACACTTGTGCAGGATGTCCTTCATCTTGCTCATGAGGTCGCACCACTTCTTCCTGCAGTCTTCCGCCGACCTGATCCAACTTGCCGTCTTCATCTTCTTGGACACCAACTCGTTCCTCACTGACCTTCTCGCGTGCTTCAACTGACTTGACGCCATTTGCAGCATGGCGTCGTCCTCATTCATGAACCTCGCCAGATCAATGAGCTCCTCCAGCAGCCATGACCTGGTTCTTCTCGTCCCCGACATATCGCCTCCCTCGAGCTCCGCGGCGTTATCACCTGTATCCACTTCACCGCCACTTTCAGGCACCCATCCCCCAACACTGCCCCTCCTCGTTGGTCGTCCGGCCTCTCGGCCACGTGCATCCGCCACTGCCGGATGTGATTCTTCTTTCCCGCGTGGCACGGTGGGTGATGGATCGCGCCCCGGTCGCACAACGTCCGACAAGCGGGGACTGCATCGGTCGGCCATGTCTCCATGGTCCCTTGCTGATAGAGACGCACCGACGCCCTGCAGCATCCTCTGCACATCTTCAGCGACACCACCCCCAATAGTGCGGAGGTTCGCCCACGCCTTGTCCACAGCGACGATGCGTAAGCGATCGACCAAAGGGGGTTGCATACAGGCGGGAACTGGAGGAGGAATAAAGGAGGCGCCTTGGGAGGGTTGTGGACTCAAAGCCACCAAAATCCGCGTACTGTCAACGGGGCCACGTGCAGTTCCATCCACCGCTGCGGAAGGTGGAGGACGAGGGCGTTTGCTCGCTCGCAGGCACACGCGATAAGAACGCCTGTTGAACCCAAACGTCGTTCGTCACTTAGGGCGCTGATCTCCTAAGGATAAAGCGTACACCGGTCGACTAGGGCGGTTTTAATTAGGTGTGAAACCACAACACATCCCTAGTCCCATACATACTATACTTTCATAAACCTATGTATAACTTTATTCAGGCAAAGTTACATATGCAATACAAATATATAATGCCAAACTTTCAATCAATCATTTCAACAGTCATTACGAAGAGATCATATCTCAATGTTTAATATAATTGATTTGGTCTGATGAAAAGATCATGCTATCGCGCTTTCCTCCACGTCGTTGATATAGTCGATACATAAATTCCTTTTTAGGGATACGCCCCTAAGGGTGGTGACAACCCCTTAGGGAAGCAAGCTTATGCCCCGCGGGAACCTATCCTGTCGTAGGGGACCGCGGGATGTACAACTGGCGCACCCGGCTAGAGTGGCGAAGGGACGACGCGACCTCGATCGTATCGGCGCTCGCGAGATTATTTATGCGCCGTCCCCGAGTTGTCTCTTTTTCGTTATGTTTTGCTTAAAGTCATGCGTGACATGGTCGGGAGGGCTCCCGCCTCTTCGCGAGAAAAGGCGGGGGCCGATGCGCTCGACACCACAACTGGTCTGGGCAGTGCATCCATGCCAGATGCGAAGGTAACCGGGAGACGCATGTGCGCGGGTGATTGAGTGGCATGCCGAACCCAGATCTCCGAGTCCGATGTCATAGACGACAACCGCAATGCATGGAGAACTGGCTTCGAAACAAAGTTCTCATCCTGCATGTACCCCGGAAACCGGCTGCGTGGCCCTCCCGAACCGGGTATGTCCGACACCCATCCGCTGCCATCCATTCCTGTGACGTAACCGCTTGCCCGCACCGCCTTCAGATACACTTTCGACGCAACAAAACGTTGAGGCCGGCCAATAGCAGGACAAGGAAGACGAACAACGTCACCACGATGGCAATGATTGCACCTATGAAGAAGAAGACGATGACCACGATGATAGTCGACCACCACTGACAGACGCGGGCTTTAGGCATGTGAACATTAGAAGAGGCTGGTGTGAAGCATGTCTGTGCACAAAAGCAACGACAAGATGAACAACTCGCCTGCCGTCCGTCCCACTCGCGTCTCCGCACCACCGTCGGACTGAACAAAACCACATGTGTGGAAGGAGAATGACAGGTTCGTGCGCTCACCCCTCCTTCGCCAAACCGCACATGAGAGAGGACGCCGAGGAGTCGACCACCGGGGCCGGCGACAACAGTGTTCGTTTGTCCACATGAAGTTGATGGAGATGGCCTCACAAGCAGGGGAAGGAGAAACTGACTGCCAACAACCCGCCTCACGTCGCTCACAGCCTTCGCCAATCTATCAGGGATTGCGATCCTGTCGCAAGCAACAGGATGGTGATTGCATGCACCCCATGAAGCTCGTCGACATCCCTACCACAACGTCCGCTGGCCATCAGCAAAAAAGGTGGGGCTCGAGCCCACTGGACTCCATAGCCGCGTAACCGAGTGACACATGGATCGCATGCACATGTGCATGGCAACCACAAAAGACGAGGATGTGGGCGAAGGACCGTCGATGACAGCACTTAACGGCAATAACAATTGCACCGTCTGCACGGGTATGCTCTCTGCAGGGACGTAGACTCGCCGGGGCCATGCTGTACGACCCTCGGAGGAGCGTGACGATATGCACAACACACCCGGGGCACACATCCACAGGTGCCACACACGGCTCCATCCAAACACCCACGGACCCGTGTCCCCGGACACCTTCATCCCGGCCCGCTGTCCGACCACAGCGCGCCGCCCCCCCCCGCAACCTTTTCGAATTTGAATTCGAAAAAGGATGCGTCCTTCCCGCTGGCGGAAGGCCAACGGACAAAAATGCCCTTCCGTGCGACACGACCTCCCCACAGACTTCCAACCTTGTGTTCCCGGGTGGACCACACTGTTGTCTGCTGGTTCATTGCTCTCCCGAACTCCGCTGGCGACGGAAGAGGTCCCCAAGGGCTAGCCTTCCCCGTGGGCAGTTTTTCCCGGAGGAGGCCCGGTCCACGTAGGCCAGACAAGGCCGTGGACGGAGTGGAAATGCCCTGGCGTACTCTTCCCGGCCACTTTCTCTGACCTGTGGCTCCCGGCGAGGACCGCCAGCCTGGGGGGTCCCACCCTAAGAAAAGACTCAAATGACTTTCAGACCTAGTTAATTGTGATAGTTCAAGTTTTATTCCCGTTCCTCCTGGTTAGCTCGACCTCCACCCTTAGGTACTTCAACTCGGTACCGATTTCCACCACCAAACCCTGTGCTCCTACAGTCTTCCCCCGAATACCACGTACGGTCATTATAACTGAATTTGGGGCATCTTTCAGTCTAAATTCAGCTATAATGACCGTACGTTGTATTCGGGGGAAGAAGGTAGTTCGTCCGCAGCCCTTTGTGCCCCAAATTCCTTGGTTTCCAAATTTTCGATTTCCCACACACCTGAACGAACACGACTCCTAGCGCTAAATTTGAACCAAGAGTCGTTCTCAAGCGGTCCCCAATGCCAATTCAACCTAGCAAGTACTCAGAAGCGTCTCCCTCCCAAGTGAACCCAAGCTTTTTTTTTTTTCTTAATTCCTCGCCCACCCATCCCCCCACCCCCCCCCTCAAAAAAAAAAAAAAACGGTTCCGGTAGTTACCCCCCCCCGGCATTCACTTTGCCATTATTAACGCCAGATGCACAACAAGAATCCTCAAATCCCAACCCGAATTTTTTTTTTTTTTTTTTCAACCCGAATTCTAAATGACGTCACCCCCTACAATCCCGAACTTTTTTTTTTGTTTTTTTTTTTTGCAATCTCGAAATTTTCCTCTTCAAAGCTCCTATCACTCACCAACCACCAGCTAAGTTTAGCAATAGCCAAGAAGCAGAGCAAGATAAGTGCCCGAAAACTGAAAACTCAGGCCTTGAAAAAACGCGCGTGCGTTGCAGCGCGAAAATCGAAAAAGGAATAGGGCCTCGCTGCACCACTCTCGAAATGTGCAAAAGCAGAGTGAATCTTCCTCTAGAATATGGAAACATACACGGCCATGATTTTTGTCTTCTGGGCATGTCGAGAGTAGTGCAGCGAGGCCCATACTCGCTACCTTTTCGCTTTCCTTGTGCAGGTTCTTGAGCGGAGCTTCCGCTGTTGCGCCTGTTGGCGGAGCGCAGAAGTCGAGCACCCTTGCTATTTATTCCCAGCTATCCGCTATAAATAGAAAGGCATACCTTTCTCGGCCCTTTTGGCAAGCATCAAGTGTAGTATCTGATCTGATCATGATCTGTGGTCCATCGGGCCACACGATTTTTTCTTTTTTTTCTTTTTTTTTGTCCTTCGGGACATCCTTGGCGCCCGCCACCAAGACATATGCCGTTGGTCCCCCCGATTGGCATTGAACAGACACTGCTGATGTTCATAGGGAAGGAGGAGGGGGGAGACCACCACCGGAGGGGAGGCACAGTGACTGGCCCGTCGAAGAAGCTGGGTCCTGATGCTACCATCAGGCTGACCCCTGACTGGTATCGCCCACCTGCTGTAGCAGGGGTATCGCACCTGCTGGTGGGTGCAGCTCATGCACGCTCCCTCGTTGGAGGCCTGAGCACGGATGGGGCTGCTAGGGGGTTCCCCGTAATACTATAATGACAATAAGAAAAGGCCTGAAAGGCCGTCCTGTCCAGATTTGACAGGTAATTGAATTGGTTGGCCTTTTAAAAATAAAAATAAAAATTGGAACGATACAGAGAATGAAGATTAGCATGGCCCCTGCGAATGGATGACACGCATAAATCGGGAAATGGTCCAATTTTTTTCCACATCGACATGTGTGCGGCGGCTGAGGAGGGTCTTTTCATAGGGTTTACGTGTTCTTTTTGGTTTTGGTTTGCTGTGTACAAAAAAAAAAAAAAAAAAAAAAAAAGGGCTACGGAGGGGTCACAGGGGTAGGCTTGCCTATTGCCTACTCGACTACTCGACCCTTCCAGCGTTGCCTTCCAAAAGTGAAAATGCATTAAAAAACAAAAAGGAAAAAAAAGAAAAGAAAAAGAAAAAAAAAGAAACAAAAAGAAAAAAAAGAAATAGAAAGGGCGGGTGGTTCTCAAGTGCCGGTTGGATCGCCTTCAGCACTTACCGACGAGCTCGCACTTCTGGGCCGAGGTCCCATTTTAGCATTAGCAAAGAGGATCGGATCGACTGCCCGAATCTGGACGTGTCTTATGCAGAGATGCAGAAAAGCAGTTCAATCTCGATTTCCTGCACCTCTGGACAAACACGTCCAGATTCGGGCATTCGATCCGATCTTCTTTGCTAGTGGAACCATGCCCCCCCCCGCTGTCCCAGGCGACGGACCCATGCTGAGTCCTTACCCCCTTTAGACTTTTCGAAGATGCCAAACTTTCCCTCCATTTTTTTCAAAAAACAAACCGCGAACAACAACACTTTCCCTCCATTTTGCTGGGCCAATAGTAGGATTTTTATTTTATTTTAATTGAATTACCGCAGCCTCTTCACGCGCTCCATTTTGCTGGTAGGGACAAAGTTTCCCTCCAAAAAAAATAAAAAAATAAAAAAAATTCCCTCCAAAACGTTTGCTTTTTGTTTTTTTTCCCTGGGAAATTCCCTCCAAAACTTGGGCCAATAGCCCGCTACGAAAATGGTCCTCCCATTTCCAAAAAAAAAAAAAAAAAAAAAATGGTCCTTCCTTTAATCAGGCGTTGAATCCAATCCTCTTTCCTACTGGGTAGTGGGACCTCGCCCAAGGAGGCCGGGGGGGTAGGAGGTCCCCCTTATTACACGAATTACGCGATATTGACCGTAGATATCAAACATCAACGGCCAGAGTGTCTCTTAATC